CAACAGTTTTCCATTTTTTAAGCTAATTTTTTTTGTTTTTTAATAATATAGGACGTATACATTGTTGAAAAATAATGCACATACAAAGGATACACACCTCCACAGTATTCTTTTTTTTTATTCTCTTTCCGGTAAAGCTAATAATAAACAGCATCCAACTCAGAAAGTAAGAACAAGGAGAAGGAAACAGGTTTTTGTCTCCTCACCTTCCAGCAAAAACATTCACAAACATTCAGGTTTGGGGGGCTTCAAATAAAAAATATATATATATAATTGACCATCGTGTTGATCCTGACTGTCAACTGTACTACACAGCAGCAAATATACCCAATCAGTTACAAAAAAATAAACATTACTCAAATTGTAACCCCCGTTTTTTTTTTTTTTGCACAAATAATTGCAAAATGTTTTTGTACCTTTAAAAAAAACGGCTTCAGTTTCAGAAAAGCCTCGATACAACAAAACAACCAAGAATAAGATGATTGTTTGTCTGAAACTAGAATACAAAAATGATTAGAGATAAACAAAGGTTTGCATAATAACGCAGATATGTCTCTATGTTTATTAAAGAATGAAAACAACAGATCTGAGGTTGCGTTGTTGCCAAAATAAACTAACTTTTCATGAATTAATTCACCGGAGGGGCAGTAAAGTTCAACACAAAAGTGACACAAAGATATTTTTTAATAACCCTTGACGTAAATGTAGGCAGATTATTTAAAAAGAAAAATACCCCCTTTCAAAAAAAAAATCTATCTCTATTATTTTTTGTTTCTTTTGCTTTATCCATTGCATTAAAAATCCAAAAACACGTAGCCGTAACATAAAAAGAACAAAAAAAATGTTTCGCAAAACGCAAAATTAAAATAAGAAAACCGTATTCGTCTCTGGCCTCGGCGGCCGATAAATTCTTCATAATCAACCTTTGTTCGTTCAAAGGAGGAAAAGGAGGGGGGGGTCAAAAAATACCTCATATTGTTCATAATGTACATGTAAGACACGTCACAGGCTTAAAATCTTTAAACAGCATTTTGTAGATATTTGTTACAACACGGGTCTGCTCGACGACTAAAAATAAAAGTTTTCTTTTACCTCCACACATGAAAAAAATAAAATACTATCTCCTCACAATACTAACTTCTCCATTTCTCTTTCCCCCCTTTGAATTTGATCAACACTGGAATATGAGAGAAATAAAATAAAATAAAAATAAACAAATTTGGATTTTTTTAAAGTGTAGCTGGACGGGGTTTAATTAGCGGTTTTGATAATAATAATAAAAATAAAAAAACGAAATTTTCAGTCGCACCAAACCGGACTGTTAAAAGTAGATCCTTCAGTTTCATTCTCATTTAAATTATCATTACTTTCTGCTGTTTTTTAAAAACTATAACAGAGGCAAACCAGCATGGAAATACACATTCTCAAATTGTGGGAGGAGCCTTATTTGGGGGCGTGGCACTCAGTGTTTAAATTGTATATTTGTCCAAACATATGTTTTTATCAAACTTTATATTCAGTAAAAACACAAAAGMATGTTTTATAATATTGCATTTTGGTTAACAAACATGACTACACCGGAGTACGTAAAAGAAAGTTTGAGAAAAGTTTTTGAACGTTCAGTTCTGTTTTCGGTATCAGAAACCAAATGTCTCAAATCTTGATCAGACATCCTCTGTTTTTGCACGTTTCACTTAGCAAACAGCTGGATTTTGAAGCTAATTTTAACTTGATGTCAATATTAAACATCTGTCTCTGTAACGAACAACTCAAAATGTGAATGAAAGTCAGGTGTCTGGGTCCGGTTCAGTCAGGTAAATAAAACCCGTCCACACTGCTTTTAAAGACTTTCAGCATCAATCAGCTCAGCGTTACCTCACAAACAGAAAAATAAAAACTAAAATCAAAGAGAACGTTCTGAACAAAAAGCTGTGAAATCCTCGTGTTTCAGGCCCATTTCTGTGAATGAACTTGTGTAAGAAGAGATGGAGGCGGGGCATGAGAAAAGTGCTGAGCAAGGAAAGAGGAGAGGCGGCRAGATGCAGCTCACGTTGAAGTTTGATGTGGGTCCCCTGCTGCGCTTCCAAAAAAAGTCGTTTGGCCGGCCGCAGCGTGACTAAGACCCGCCTGCTGCACCTGCAGCCGGGCCTCGCCTCACTGAAAACCTGCTGACGTCACGCTGCATCGCGCTGACGAACTTCACGCACCGAGAGGCGTCGGCTGCGACGACAGCAGGGAGAGGACAAACGCCTCCTCCTCCCTCCCTCACTATCTGACCTGAACTGTTTAACGGACCGTATGAGGTATAACTGTACACTCTAACACAAACAGGTTTATCCTCTATTTAATGACGCTCTGTGCAAAATAAACTGAAATAAACCAGAAAGCAGCAGAGTGGGAAAATAGCCAAGTTTCTTTACTTTTTGTTCACGAACCCTTCGACAAAACCGAGCTATAAACACCGACAAACTGCACGGAAACCTGATGTGTACGATGAGGGATAGGGCCACAGAGAAATTCAGTCAGAATTAAAAGGAAATTGTCTGAATTTTGAAATTTTTTTAAAGCCAACTTTTTAAAAAAGTCAAAATTTTGAAAAAAAATAAGTGCTGAAATTTCCAGGAAATAAAGTTACAATAAAAAAAATACTTATTTTGCTCTGTGGCTGATTTAAAAATACTCTCATGTACAGTAAATGTTTTCACATGCAGTTTGTGTTCTAGAATCCTTTGCTGAGAAGTTCAGTGCCAGAAAAATTGTTTGTAGTGAAATTGGCTTTTAAAAATTCCATTAAGGACAAGTTCAAAGAATTAATCAGCCTGTGTACACGCTCCTCTTCAGTGTGAGTCTGGAACAAGTCCTTTCCCTGACTGACCCATCGGGTTGTTGTTGTTTTGTTTGTTTAAATGACATCTAAAAAGGTTCAGACACATCTGGACTATCTGGGCTAAAAGTGAAACTTTAGAAGAAATCTAAACCTGGATGTAAACGTTAACGAGTAGAGTCCTCTTGTTTTTTCACAGTCTGATAATAAAGGCTTCGTTCAGATATTTTGAAATGGGGTTCTTACATGCTGTAGTTTGAACCATTGTCAAATATATATATA